CAGATCTGCGACAGACATCGGCGATCATGGTTCTCCATTCATTCCTTTGCTCGGATGCTCTTAAAAAGGCTACGTTTCCCTGATCTTTCCCTGTTACCCATTTGTTTAGGTTCCCCAAGTAGGTTGCTCTGGGCCTACCTCAGCCTCGTTTGCCTTCAATTTTGCCAGTGAGAGCTTGATGTTCAAGACCCTTATGTCTATTCAGGTGTCCCAAAAACTGCATAATTTGTCGTTTCCTGATTGTTTTTAACAGTGAGCGTCCAACGTAGGCTTCATGAAGCACTACCTCATTTGATTTCTTTTCCTTCCACGATACTCTTAGCAGCCTCCAAAGAAACCACATTTCTGTTGCTTCTATTTTATTTTCACTGTCTTCAGTGATTGTCCAGCATCCACACCCATATAGAAGGGTTGACCGAACATAGCATTTCAGAACTTTCATTTTGGTAATCATTGAGATGTTGCTATTTTTCAGGATTTGGCTCATTTTATTGAAACTAGCTTTAGCCATTACAATTCTCCGTTTTATTTCTGTGAAACATTTGGTATCAGATGTAATTATCTACCTTAGATATTTAAACAATAAATGAATTAATAAATGAATACATGTGTAAATGAATAAATGAATAAAAGTATAGACGTAAAGGTGAATAAATGAATAAAAAGAAAAAAAAAGAAAAAAAAAGAAAAAAAAAGAAAAATCAAATACCACTTGATTGGCCCCCTGTGTGTCCAATAGACCATTGATCATCGCGTGGCAGACGTGTGCGAACTGAGGTCATCGGTGTCTGTAGCGGGCGCGTTGTTGTCGCTCACTGGACACCCAGATTGTCACCCCCCACCCCCCCACCCCCCCCAAAGCAGTGCTACTGACTGAGGTTCTTTAGGCCGTTCTCAAAGGGGAGATATTAACATGTTCTCATGCCCAGTAGAATTGTAAATAGGCTGATTTATCAATGCCATGCTCATACTGTGCCGGAACAACAGGGGGAACTGCTGCTTTTTCTTTCTTCATCCTTACTATCTTCGTTTTTCTTCTATTTCTTTTGTATGTTTGTCACTCTCTTGTGAGCTGCTATTTCCGGGGTGCCTCGATAGACGAAGCAGACTTTGTGCTGTTGAGGCTAGACAGGTGAGCAGAGTGAGCCTGATTCCCCGTTTGGACTTCTCTGTTGATATCCACCCCTTGGCGCTCATATGACCGTAAAACCTTACTAAAACTAAACAAGACTCAGGTTCCATTCTCGAATCCTAATATGATCTAAATTGTGTCGAAAAGGCAATATTAAAACTTTATTTTATTTTAAATATTTTTTAATGGTTATGAATAATTTGATTTCAGACCAAATCATTGTTTGACCTAATCTGTCGGGTAGACGGGTAGAGCCAGACACTAACATAGTTATAGCTCCAGGACACATTAAACATTTTCTTTTGGTATGAAATTTCTAATTTTACCTGAGTGGCTGCCGAAGCCTACTCTTATTGATTTTGGGCGACTAATGGATCTGTAAGTTTAACGTGCGCAACCTGCACATGGTAGGCCCTACCGCAGCGATTTTTTGTCCCTATTCGGAGAAAGCTAGGCGTGAGATCTTACCTACCATAAGGTGCCGTAAAGGTTTTACTAATACATTCTAAACTTAACATATTTTATTACAGAAATTTTGACTAACTACACAAAACGTTTTTGAAATGTTGCTTGATATTATTTGTGTCATAAATAATGTATGCTGTTTTCACGGAAGTCTGTGCTGTAAAATGTGTATGCTTTGGGTGACGTGGGTTATTACCCCTGCAACACTGAATAGAATACCTAGTACCTAAACTGTGTCAATAGGGGCATAAAAACATACTTTTTAAAAACGATTTTATAAGGTCCTTAATTCGAATCCCGCCAGGCACCCGACGTTGTGTCCTTGGGAAAAGCACTTTATATGAATTTTCCTCACTTCATCCAGGTGGGAATGTCTATAGCATAGCTATAGACAGCGATTTTGTTAGTTCCTTAATGTTTCCGGGCATGTAATCCCCAGCTTGCACTGTATGATTCCCGGGAAGCGGAGAATGTTTCTGGGTCTGCCAGGGTAATTATCATTGTAAAACGCATATAGCTTGCTGTAGACCGTCGTATATGGTCACTTTTAAGGACAAGCGGGCTAACCCAGATTTCGGGGGTTTCCAGAAATTTGGACCTACACCAAAAGTGGGCATTACCCTACCTATAGGAGTTTCATTGGTGTGTATATGTGTTTGATTACAAAGAAAACTCTCCTTGTCTTTTAAAGAAACTGAACAAGGAACCAAAAACTGCACCTTCGATTTTTTCAAAACAGCATTTTTCGGGATAGCCCCCTTGTGTTTAACGGAATCCATACGCCCTGGGGTCATTTTGTACTCCTGGGGTTGTATTCTTCACATATTAGAATACTTCTAGTACGAAGATCTCTTTGAAACTTTCAGTATTTCTCAAAATGCCATTTTGACAGATTGCTATGCAAAGCGCACGGATCGGATTAACGAGTAAATTTCCTTTTTGAAAAGTGGTGGCACAGAGTTCCCTAAGTTGTATGGATACGATAGTAAAACACGACGTACGGATGGGGTTAAAAGTGACCATTTTTCTTGTACTTTTTTTTCCATTTCCAGCAAACGTCTGGACGAGACGACGGCCGAGCTGAAGAAAACGTCTGTGGCTTTGGAGAAAGAAAAACACAAGACGGAAACTTTGCTGCATCAGATGTTGCCTAGACGGGTGGCCAAAGCCCTGACCAACGGGGAGAAAGTGGAGGCGGGTATGTGGGGGG